ACACTGCTGGAGGCCATCAATAAGGGGCTGAGGGATTGCAGGCAGCCGGCCCAGCACGGCGTGCAGGGCTCCTGCAACCAGCAGTCATGTGTCAAACCCTGCACTGCTCCACACCACCAGGCTGTTCCCAATCCCAGGGCACAGCCACAAAACAACACAGGCTTTCTTGTTTGTCTCTGCACACCACACGTTTAGGCATCTTTAACATGTGTTTTTTCTGTTCGCAAACAGATTAATGAGAGAAATGGTTTAATTTTGTCTGCAGCTCACAGTTAACCCTGCCCGATGCTTTGCAAGTGAAGCACGTCTCGAGTAAGAGCTGCTTGAAATCTCTGCAGTGTAATAATGGACAGGACATGGTGTTTTCCATGCCCAGTCAAGGATTCACCTTCCTCAGCCATCCTGAAAATGTGCTGCAGAGCCCCAGTGCCCAGTGCCACTGTTCTGAGCCATAACACCGAGCTGGAAGAGTGCACTTGACAAGTTGGAGATGCCAATGCAATTAAGACAACATGGTGCACCCTATGCAGACACTAATGGCCTTATTACAGCATTCATTAGACAATCAGACCAAAAAACAGCCCCATGTTGGCTTGTTCTGGGAAGATCTCCCTCTCTAAGGGCAAGTGAACAGGTCTCATGGAACCATTTCACTCCTCCCAGATGAGGGTGAGGGTGGGAGGGGGCACCACCTCTGTCCCCATGGACAGGCAGCCCCAGAGGGATGTGAGGGGATGATCTGAGGTGACCCCACATCTCAGCTGGGGACACTTTACAGAGGCAGGAGCACTTCCCCAGGGAGAGCTTCCTCCTGTGTCCAGTCAGCACCTCCAGTCCATCCTGTAGGATCTCACCATCCTCCTGTTACTTGACCACAGGCAGCAGCTCATGTCCACATGCAGGAGCCTGGACAGATCTCTCCAGCCTTGGCACAACCACTTGGAAAAAGAAGGTTCAGCAATTTCACAGGGATTGTTTCTTTACTTGTTGATTTGACAGTTCTGGGATACTTGCAGGGGGAATGGGTTGGGAAAACATAATAAACCTGGGACCTGCTGAGTTAACTCTGTCTGGAGAAAGAAGCAATATCACCAAATTTCCCATGAGAACCTGCAGTTCCTCTAGGAGTGATCCATTTCTTTCTCCTTCAGACACAGCATCCCTCCAGCAGAGGTGTGTTTCTGTTTGTGTCAGGCACCTCAAAGCAGGAGGAGTTGCATTTTTAGGAGCCAGCCACTAACAGGAGCTGCTCAGGCAGCCCCTTGCACTCCTGCAGTGCCTCTTATCCACCAACCTCAAAGGCTTCAGAGACTCACAAAGAGGGCAGGGAGAGCCAAGAGGCAGCTGGAACTGGGGCTGTGGGGCACATTGGGAAAGCAGAGCAGGGAGAGTAAGTACTGCTCTCAAATTCCAAGAGAACCATCAGCCATGAAAGCAGGACCCTGTGTGTCCTGGCCACGCTGCATTCAGCCACCCTCACCATTCCCACTGCACCAACCACAGAGGGCCCAGAGACCCAGTTATTGCCAAAGGAAAACCAACCAAACAACAAACCAAATCACCCATTTGTAAAGCAAACCAACCAAAAAACAGCTGGTGCATGACACACCCCCTTCTCCCCGTGGCAGATTTCCTCCCTAACACCGCTGGCACTTTTGGCTTTTGAAACATTAAACCTAAAACCGGTCAAAGTAGTTCATGTAACGACACAACTGCCTTGTAACACCCACATGCACCCTCAGCACCACCAGGGAGCCACAATCCTGGTTTAAAACTCCAATATTGCCGTGGCCAGAGGATTTATCAGCTAATGGCATTAGCTGTATCTTTGCTTTACCACAGGCGCTGGGGGTCACGGCTCAGGATTTCAGCAGGGATGCAGCTGGCCAAATTCCTGATCCCAAAATCCAGGGCAAAGCATTTCAAATTGTAGGAGGACATGAACTATAAATACTGTGTCTTAAATCTGCGTGCCAGGGGCCAAAAGGGGCTGACAGAGCTTGGCACCATCCTCCCAGGGACAGAGGCAGAGGGTGGTCCTCCCTGGCCTCTCGTTGGAGGGGGGTGGGCATCGTGTAATCACAACCTTGCTGCTGGGAGAACAAAGCACTGCAGTGGCTTTTCATGGAATACTGGCCAAGCCATCCCAAATTAGACATCTGCTCATTTCATCCTTGCGTGGATACCTGGAACACAGCCAGAAGTGACACTAAATCATGCTCTGGGTACTGGGCAGAGCTGTGCTCAGTTGTTTGATACCAACCAGGCAAAGGAAGGGGGGGATTGTGCTGCCCCTACATAAAAGCCATGTCATGTCCCAAAGTTTGCTGCAGTGAAAAGTCATAAAATATTTTCTTTGTTATCAACCAGCTTCTGACCTCAGATACAGAAATGCAAATCCAGGGTGAGTCAACAGCAGCCGGATGAGACACTTGACACACAAACATCTGAAGGGAAGCAGAGCCTGGCTCTGGAGGGTGCAGGGAGCCAGTGTCTGCCTTGGCTGGACAGGAAACACAAAGGTGATGCCAAGGTGGGAGAAGCCACCAGGACTGAGAAGAACAGACAGTCTCAGATAACTCACAAAACCAGGTTTATCAACTCATGACAACAAGAAAAAACAAACGGATAGAGCAGATTTTAATAAGTTGTTAAAGATCTCTTCTCTTTGTCTACCAACATCAGCAACAGAAAGAAAATTTAAATAGAAGTTCTTCTGTAATTTTACACAAAAGAATCCAGTACAGCTCTTGAGATTAATCCACTCTGTGACCATCACTCTCCAAAAAAATACCACAAATGGGAAGGTGACACGGACCATTATAGAGGAGCTCCACAACAGGCTGAACAGCAGCACCACAGCCAGAGAAATGGCAAAACATGCTGGTTCCTTCTTGGAATGAGGACAGTGATAAAGAAGAAGATATTTACTCACCTATGATGGTCTTCAGCAGCTGTTTACCTGCTCCTTTTGGGATCTGGAGTGTCCTTACCTTTGAGGCCCGTGGGAACAACTTTTCTTTTTTGCAACGGAGGAAATTCAGACACACAGAACTGAGACTGCCCAGAGGGACAAGTCTCTTGGAAAACAAAACATCACTGCAGCAGCTTCCAAATCAAAATTAGCACTTGCATCAAACATCCTTTTCTTTCCCTTTCTGTGTTAGTAATAAAGGAATAAGAACTGGGGAAATATCCCCTGAAGGGTTATCTCCACAATAATTACTGAAGACAAATTGTAGCCTCTGGTAGTTTGCCCTGGGATGTATTTAACAGTATTTAGTTTGGTTATTTCCAGGAATCCTTGACTTCCCTAAACTCCACAATTTTCTTTATTATTGTAAGAAAATACAGACAGGGACTATCACATACCCACACCTACATCTATATCTGTGTGAGAAACCAGGACACTCTCATGAGTAGAAGGGAAGTTACTGAGAGAATCCTAATTACTGAGATGACCCTGTGGCCACGAGGGTTCGAGGGTGAGGAAACAGCTCTTTTTATGGAAACATTTAACACAACAACAGGAATACAAATCAAGCTCCATTAATTTAGCTTTAAATTTTAATGAATCAGGATGTGTCATTTACATAAAGAAGGATTTACTTAATAAAATATTAATATTTTTTGCTAAAAGAACTGTAAATTGAAAGTTAATATAGGTTTCTTTAAATAGAACATCAGAAGTTGAAAAACACTGAAAGAGCAAATCAAATACAGTCAATCAAAACGAGCCAGAATCCAAAGAGAGCAAAATATTGTGATCAGTCTCCAAGACTGGACTTTTGGTGACCCACATATTATTTAGTTAATTTAACAAAAAACCATAAAACATTACAAATGTGTTCTGCGTTTGGTCACACCCCAAATGACAGTGTTTGGACCTACCTGGGCAGCCCAAGGGTGTGTCCCAGCTGCACAAAGAGCTCCATGGCTGGGGGGTCTCAGGTGTCCCCACAATTCATGGGTCTGACCCCCAAGTGCAGTGAGGGTGACGCTGGGTCCACGCTCAGCCACAGGGGCTGTGACCACTCCCTGTGTGCCAGTCCTGGCCACCTCTGGGGGTGTGCTGGGGCTGGGCCATGGTCACACAGCCCTCCCTGTCACCCTGCACCCTGTTTGCAAAGGAAATCTGGCAGTAGAGGCAGAAAAGGAGCCATAACATACCAAGCATCCCTGGATGGAACCTCGACTGAGAGAGGAGAACCTCCTTCAACAAATAAACACTTCAGGAATAACCTTGCCCCTATTGAGGCTCTGTTGCTGAAGAGCCAAACTGAGCTGCAGACACTGGCTGTGGGTGTTCCTGACACCCCACAAGGAGCCAACAGCTCTAAGGTTAAACTGGCACCACTTCTCCACCAACTCCAGGCTCAAGCAACTTGCACAGAGTCAATCAGGAACCACGAACCCAGCTCTCGAGGCAGGTCACAGACCAGCTCTGTGTGGCTGAGGCTGACACGGAGTCTCCAGCTTTCCCACCCACCACTCCTATTTTTTTCATCTGGAAAACATCAAAGTATCTTTGATCCCCTGCTCCTACGTGCTTGTTTTCCTTTAGGCATCATCACAGAAAGGCCATCTCATCCATATGGATTGAAAGTACCACCGGAAAAGTGAGTCACTCCAACAACATTGAGTTTCAGCTTTCCAAAAACGGGAAAAACTGAAGAGCATCTGCAAATGAAAGCCCTGTGGTTTCGAACTACAACAAATTATGGCTTCATTTTCCAAGTTGGCAACTGGGGACTTCAGACACACAAAAGTAATAAAATTTGCATGATCCCCTAATGCCTCTATTAGTCTGAGGAGCTTTGGTACTCAGGGTACAGGGAGAAGGTTGCAGGACAGACTAGAACAAGATAATGTGCGACAAAACCCCGTGATGCTGCTGTGAAGAAACAGTGAAGATCCCTCCTAAGTTTTTCAGGATGAAAAAAGGCATTTAGTGACTATGGCTGACAAAAAGGAGCAAGGAGGGACTAAGGCAGACTCACGTTGAGCTGGAGGTCATCTGTCCACTGGCCCACGAGGCGGTAGCCCGGGGTGCTGGTGTTGGTGCTGTGGAACTGGAAGATGTCGTAGCGCCCCGGGGCGTCCCCGTTCTTGTTGAACATCACTGGAGTGCCAGCACTGCCTGGGGGAAGGAAACAAGACAAAATCCAACCAACCAACACCAAGTCTTTACGAGATCTGCTTTATTTAGTCACGGTTGAGAGTATTGAGACTGGAAACGTGTTTCAGGCAAAGGTCATCCGCCAGCCCGGCCATTTAACAGGACACTTCAGGACACTGGCATCACCCCAGCCCTCTCCCAGAGATCAGCTCTCACTGCTTAAACCAGCTGCCTAAAAATAAACAGAGCAAACTAGATGAGCCTTACCTCACTCTAGCTTTGCCCAACATAAGAAATATCAGAAGGCTTTTCTTGCTGCCCTCCAGCCTCCCTCCCATCTCTCTTTCCTCAGGGAGTTCTTCAGTGAAAATCACTCCTGTGAATGGAGCCTCTAAATGCTGCTTTTCACCCCCTCCCAGAAAATGTTCCATCTGCTTCTGTGAGATAGTGCTGTCAGGAGTCAGCCCAGGTCTGGTGAGTCTTGACTGGCATCCAGAAATAGCTTCCTCCTCCACAGTATGTTCTCATTCCCGCAATCACCGTGTGCTTGGGATGGAACAGAACAGACTAAGCTTTAGGAAGACTGTTCCTTGTGTACTCCCTTATTTAGGCTCTCTGACACTGACACAGAGGTGTCTCAGTGGGAGCAGAGCAGGATCCTGAATTGACTTCATTTGCTGTGGACTCAGGTGATGAACATGGGTCAGGAGGTGCAGGACCAGGGACAAGACAAGGAAAGCCCCGGCCCTCCCTCTGTGCCTGGTGCTGAGCAAAGCCTGGGGGTGCAGAGATGTCTGAGCCCTGGGACAGACCATCCCTGATCCTCGGGAGAGTTCTCAGATCCCTGAGCCTCAAGAGAGTTCTCACCATGACATCTGCATTTTAATTACCATGGCATTAGATGTGAACCTTTTCTGAGATGAAAATTCAAAGCAGTGCTGCATTTCCTCAGATCTCCAGGAGCAACCTTCAAGGGTGACATTTATTTCAAGACATATTAAAATAGGTTTCAGTAGGGAAGAGCAATATTGTGTCAAGATTGAAGATTATGACAATCCTCCAGCATATCTATATTCAAAGCTTCCTCCTCCTGCGTAACTTCTTTTCCCTAAAGCAATGAAAAATCTCTCCTGTTGTAGCATTGAACTTTAAGATTACTGTTTTCTTCATGATTCCCATTCTTCATTGAATTCCAGTGAGTGAAAAAAACGTTTGGGGGAGTGAATTAGCACAGTCTCCATTCTAGCCCTGGTAAATGGTTTCCTGTCTCTCCTACAATCCTCTGACATCAGAACAAATTCAGTTCAAAGGCTGGTACAGAAAATCTTGCACTGAAATCTCTGCTCACTGGTTCCTTATGAGCACCAGGCAGATATTTAATTGTCATTACAGATTCATGTAGCCAGAATGCATTTAGAGTGAAAACACTTAGAGTGAATCAGAAGCTATGGCTGTAATTCCTTGGCTCCCTGGGAAAGTCAGCACAAGAGGTAAATGGGATTTAGCTAATCACAACTCTTAAGGCTGGTATTATCAGTTAGGCTTGGTTTTGTCAGAGCTGACAAAAAAGGTACAATTGAAATGGCAGGAGCTCAAGTGAGGCTCCCAAAATGCAACAGAGACATTTGTGGATTCCCCACATCCTGACAAGGTCCCAGGACACGAAGCAGGGTCGGTGTCTGCTGGTCAGGAGGCACATGGAGAATGAGCTCCATTGTCCAGGCCACCCAGAGTCAAGGGTGATGAGACAAAACCTGAGGGGAAGCAGCCAAGAGCACTCCTGGACTCACCTTCCTGGGAATGTCACCCAGAGCCCTCCTGGCTAAGCCATTCCAAACAATCCCTAAGGATGCCCTTGGGTGTGCCAGGGCTGCAGGTTTGGCCCAGCACAGTCTGATGGTCCAGAGCCCCCCGAGGGACATGGGCACAGGGGCTGGGCAGTGAGCAGGGAACACCTGCTGCTGTTTGCAGGGACTTCACCATTTGACTGCTAAAATTATACAGAGAAAAGCCATGAGAAGCCTGGGATCTGTTGGGAAGTCAAGTATCCAAAGGGAATGGGAAGGACTGGTAACCCCGAGTCAGGAGTCAGGCACAAGTGTCCCCTCTCCTGACTTTGAAGTTGGAGTAATTGGACTCCCAGCCACAGATCTGCTTAGGAAGTGCAAGCCCTCCTTAACCCCAGGCCAGGTACAGGCTCTGCTCTCCTTTTGTGCCTCCTGCCTGTGGGGACCCAGCAGCCCTGCTTTGATCCCTGCAGCATTCCAGCCTCCACACGCAGCTCAGGCTGCTTTGATGAAACAATGAAAATAATACAATGTGTTGTAGGAAAACCTCATTGCAGAGGGGAACCAGGGTTTTCACAAATGACCCTACTTGTTCTTTGACTTCTTGGTCTTCTAATCTTGAAAACACGTGGTTGTTTCACTGGTTTTTGATCATCTAGAATTTATTTTCTTTCTGTTAAGATTTCCCAGAATTTTGCTCAGCCCCAGCAAGCGCTTCAGGAGTGTCAGCCTTGAGGCTGCAGCTTCCTGCCCATGCAGAGGCCATGACAATTCCCTTCAACTCTCAGCAAACGAGCTGCCTTGTCCCCACACAGACACAGGGGTACATCTGCAGGAAGCATTCAAGACCAGACACAGTCTGGCTGAAGTTGCAGGATTTCAATCTCTTAATCATTGCAAGATGAGAAAGTGATTAATGAGAGGAGGACAGGGTGCTACACAGGTGTCACCAGCCAAGGTGTTTATCACTCAGTTCATGTTCACAGCAGTTTGAAGACCCAAAGGGCTCCTATGAACAGCATCTTCAGCTTTTCACTGGCAAAAATACAATTACTCTTTGATACTTTCAGACTCTCTCTGCTTGAATGCCTGAGGTTTGAAGTTTTCCATATTTTGGGCCCTTTGTTCTCGAGGTAGTGTGACAACAGCAAAATGCACACTGAGCTCCTCACACAAATCCAGCCTCTCTCCATCAAAGCGTGGCTTCAGCTCTTCCTGCATTACCTTTGCAAGGGAGAAAAGACTCCAAAGCAGGCACAGGCAGGATGATCTCAACTGCACAGTGCCAAGGAGATCCATTACACGCAGAGAGGATCTCAGGCTCAGGGTGCTTGAAAACAGGCTACGCTTTTTCTCTCCTCACACAGCCTGGACAAAGCGCTCCCACTGCTCCACTTTCTGTTCTTACCACAAACTCAGGTGGAAAACTGGGAGAACAGGATTTTACACACAGAATAAATTTGCTTTCCAAGTCCCAACCTTCCTGAGGAGTTGGACCCCTGCACTGGTGACTCAGAAGGGCAGGTTAAGACCAAGACTAAACCCAGGGAGCTGACAAAGCCCAGCTGCCCCCTCCTCTGTGCCAGCCCTCCCAGCCATGACACAATGGCCGAGGGACACAGGGGCACCATCACCCCTGTCCCAGGAGCTCCAACATGTTATCCACAGGGATAACCAGTTCTTGGAGCTGGACACCAGACAACATTAACTGGACACCCAGTTCCTCATAAATAACGTCTCAGCTCTGTTGAAATGATGAGATGAATGTTCAGCATCTTTATATGCAAGAAATATCCAGAGACAACCCCGTCCTTCCAGCACTGCAATGCCCAGGTGTGGTCCTGCACATGGAGGCTGTGCTGCCACAGGAGCTCTGTCCTTCACAATTAACCTTCCCAAATGAGGCAAGAGAACTCTGCAGACCTCCTCGGATCATTCATCTCCAAACTTGCTCCTGGCTGTAGTTAACATCCCTTCAAGGAAAGGAATTAAAATCTCCTCATGTTCACCTTGCTCTTTATAAGATGATTTATACAGGAATGAAAAATATCCTTGGCACAACAGACCAAGCTTGACCACAGAATAGCATCTGTGTTCCCCCCTTTAAAGCTCTCGGGTTCTATTGGCTCTGTGTGGGTTTTGTTAAGTTTATTAATAAAAATATTTATTAGGAGATGGTGGGAGGGGAGGTCTGGCTGTGATGCCCAACGAGGGCGTGCAGCTTATGCAAACCCTCCTCCCCAGGCAGCAGCAGCCCTGCCTCCCACACTTCAAAAGGATATTTTTCTCAGTACTTTCCTAAATCTGTTTTAAATATGGATTTGGAGGTCTACCTTCTGGCTCCTGGTTAAATCTCAGCTCTCTATCTCCTGCAGAGCCAGAGTGAGAGCAGCCAGACCTCCTGGGAAGTCCATTAGCAGGTTTATGAAGGAGAAATACCATTCCCTGCTGGAAACGACCCGCTCCGGGGCCTCGGAGCTGGTGGCAAGTGGGTGTTCGTTAATGAAACTAATAAAATTACAGGAAAACATACAGAGGCAAGGAAACTGTGTTAATATTTAGGCCTGATTTATACAGTGCAATGCAGGGGAAGTACATGACAGCCCGTTGTGCTGCCTGGAACAGGGGGTTGGTGCTGCAACCAGTGTGGCCACTCCTGGGCAGCACAGGGGGATAAAGTGATAAGGGAGGAAGAGGTAAAGTGCTGTCAGGATGGTTCATCTCCTCTGAAATCTTACTAGAGCGATGAAGGCTGGAGTAACTACTCTGTTCACTCACACAGTTCTGGCTTCCCAGGTGGACCTGGCTTCCCTTCAGCTCTGCTCTGCCTTCCCCTGAGCACACACCTAAGGTGGGCTTTGGGTACCAGGATTTCAGCCAGTTAATTTTCTCCATGTACAGGAAACAGTGGAAAGACAACAAACTGACGTGTGATGGTAACAACCTTCTAGGGCTTCAGGAACCACACTGAGCCAGAGACAAGCTCAGGCTTTTCCCCAGTGATTCCTCCCGTTGGAAATCAGGCTTCTGGAAGGGGTGCTAAACCAGCAGCAGTCATTCCTGTCTCTGGGCAGCAGCAGCCTTATTGCCTTGGCTAAAACATGGTATTTTCAAACAGATGCTAAACAAACATGGTCTTGTGCCACAACAGTAAAAAAGCCTTGATTTGGGTTGAACACAAAAACACACGACGTGGAATGAACTGAGGAGGCCGTGGGGGTCAGGGTGGCTGTGGGGTCAGGGTGGCTGTGGGGTCAGGGCGGCTGTGGGGTCGGGGTGGCTTGTGGGGTCAGGGTGGCTGTGGGGTCGGGTGGCTGTGGGTCGGTGGCTGTGGGGTCGGGGTGGTTGTGGGTCGGAGTGGCCTGTGGGTTGGGTGGCTGTGGGTTCGTGGTGGCTGTGGGTTTTGGGGTGGCAGTGGGTTTGGGGTGGCCTGTGGAGTCGGGGTGGCCTGTGGGTCCCCGGCGGTTGGCAGTGGGTTCGTGGTGGCTGTGGGTTTGGGGGTGGCCTGTGGGTTCGGTGGTGGCAGTGGGCTTCTGGTCTCAGCGGGCAGTGGTGTTTCGGCGGGCAGAGGCCCGGTGGGTGTGAGGGGGGCTCCGTGCTCACCATTGAAGTTCACGCTGCGGATGTACTTGAGCAGCTTCTTGCCCCCCGCGTGCTCCATGTCGGGGCAGAGCCCGGCGCCGTCGGCGCACAGGTCGCGGCTCATGTGGTGCAGGGCGTGGGCCATGGCGTACACGGCGTCGATGACGAACTGCACCTTCCCCTCCTGCTCGTACGGGGAGTCCTTCCCGATGCGCTCCTGCCCTGGGGACACACGGACACAGTGAGGGGCACTGCCCGCCCCAGAGCAAACACCCAACCCTCCAGGAGCACACTGAAACTGCCTTTAATCGATACAGTAAAACGTTCTGAGTTAGGGCTTTACTAATTAAAACATAAACAAACCTCTTTGATTGCTGCCAGAACCATTGACACCTCTTGAAAGTTGTTCTACATAATCCAGACAAACAAATCCTACCACGATCACCAACTTGAAGCACTAATCTACAGGGACCACCTTAGAGAGAGAAAGCTCCAGGCTCTGGAAATTCCCGAACCCTGGCTTTGAAATGGGAAAATATTTAAAATAAGCACAGTTGGTATTTAAAGTCTGATGTTTGTTCTGCTGCAAATCCCAGACTCTAATTGAAAGTTGGAGCCAGATTGAGGGAATAAAGTGTCACTTCAGAGATGCCACCAAAGGGGTGCTCTGGGGAATCGAGGAACACGAGGGCATTAACAGCACCTCGGGAAGCTCCGAGTGTTGGCATCAACTATCACCCTCTGCTCCCTGGCCTGCAGAGCCTGAAATGTCCTGCAGAACCCACTGACTGCCTCTACAATATTTTAGCAGGAGAGCCCTCAAGGAATCCAGGAGTTAATGCCAGCCCAGGCACAGTAGGGGAAGCAGCGCTGGGGAAGGGTGGAAATCATTCCTTGGGTGTGCAGGAACCACAAACCCTGGGAGCTGCTCAGCCCACGGGGCAAGGCCTGAGAAACTGAGAGCAGGGAGGGGTTCTGTACATGGAAAATCAGAACTTCAATCACACACAGGCTGAAGAGCTCCAGAACAGTGACAAAATAAGTGAATCCAAATATCCGAAGTGGAAGGCTCGGGCCTTAACCGTTCTCCCACACTCAGGTTCAGGATGGAGGTGCAGCCTGGTGATGTGGCCTTAGCCCAAGGCACTGAGGTGGCCTTCCTGCCTTTCTGGTGCCCTGAACAGGTGACTGGGTGCTCTGCAATCAGGCAGCAAACCAAACAGTGTTTCCAGAGCTCGCAGCGACACACCCCGGGCTGAGAACGGGGAATCTTTGATTCATTTCCTTTCCCCCAAAATTGCCCACTGACTCCCTGCTGCTCCTTGTCCAAGTAACACCTGCTGGATGCAGCCTGTGCAGCTGCAATCTGTGATCACACTGACCCATCTCACCAGGGATTCATGGAATGGAACTGCTGCTGGGGAGTGGCCTGAGCTGCAGCCACGAGGCACCACAAGTACAAGCTATTATTTTCCAAGGGTGGCAACACCACATCCCATGTTCTACCTGCATTATCCCACTTTTCTAACCTCACATGGGTCTTGCTCATCTTCCTGCAGTACCTACAGGGCTGGGAGCTGCCAGGAGCTCCAAGGAACCAGACCTTGGAATCATCCCTTGCAAATATTTCAGACGTTCAATCAAAGTAAATGTTCCAAAGTGTTGGAGTGGCAAAAATTCCTTTGTTAATACCCTTAATTAGAAACAGGATTGAGTGAATTTAAATTAGCTGATACCAATGAGGAAAGGAAATCAAGCTGTTAATGACGGTGAGAACTAATGATTTAATAGAGGCAAGAAGTCCATTTTCCTGCTGCTGCTCAACTGGCAGGTTTGGATCTCTCCCTCCTGCTCTAACCAACAGCAGCTTTACCAGCCCCACCACCTTCCCTCCCAGCAGAGCAGGGTCTGCAATAACCCCCCAGCAGGGACAGCCCAGGGGTGCTGTCCTGGCTCAGCCCCCAGGCTGGATCATTCTCCACCCAGCCTGTGAGCAAAGGCTTCCAGTTTTGTTTTCAGCTCGCGAGAAAAAGGCAGAGTCCCAAAAAAATCCCTTTTTTTTCTTCTTTGAGTGAAGAGGCAGCAGACCAGAATTCCAAATAAGCACAGAGAGAGAAGAACAGAAATTCTACAAACACAAAGAATCATGGAGTTGTTGAGGTTGGAAAAGCCCTGTAAGATCACCAAGTCCAACTGTGTCCCCAGCACTGCCAAGGCCAGCACTGAACCAGATGTCCAAATATATCCACAAAAGAGATTTACTTGAATACAAGCAAAGAGACACCCCCCTATATGAACATCAATAATTATCTATATTTCCTTCTTCCTGTGTTCCCTCTGTATTCACCAAACTGCACCCCTGATGTCTGAGCTGCTCAACCTACAGGAGAGCTGGAGAAGGACTTTGGACAAGGGCCTGCAGTGACAGGACAAGGGGCAATGGTGTAAACTGGCAGAGATTAGGTTTAAATTAGATATTAGGAAGAAATTCTTCCCTGGGAGGTGGGGAGGCCCTGGCACAGGTTGCCCAGAGAAGCTGTGGCTGCCCCATCCCTGGAAGTGTCCAAGGCCAGGTTGGATGGGGCTGGGAGCAACCTGGGCTAGTGGAAGGTGTCCCTGCCCATGGCAGGGGGTGGCACTGGGTGGGCTTTGAGGTCCCTTCCAACCCAAACATTCTGGGATTCCATGATTGTGGTTGAAAGACTCTTTACCAAAACCCCTCGGTTTTAAATCTCAGCTACTCTGGAAACACCGAAATCCTGCAAATAATTCAGCAGAAAGAGCAAGTTTCCAGACTGTGAAGTTCCACAAGTCCTTTTCATTATTTCACTCCCCTCTCATTGATTACAGAATTTACCACATTTTCAAGCCCTGACAAGGAAAATGCTTTTAAGTGGTTTCAGCCCAGCTCTGTAACCAAATTAGCAATGCACCAGGAGTGGGTGCCAGGGGAAGTGGAGCTGGGACTGAAATGCTGCACACAAACAATACTGATAAGGCAGAGCATGTTCTAGAAGCACAGCTGGCCAAACACACAGCAGGAAGAAAAGCCTTAGCAGTGAAATATCTGAGAGGAACCTGAGCAAAACCCACTTAAAGAAACCCAAGAGCAATGTAACAGTGTCCAAGTATGAAAATTTAAAATCTTAATGGAATTTCCACAAACAACAACAGTTTCCTGTGCTGAAACAGCCATTTAGTTGAGTATTAAACATCCAGAATTGTGCACAATAAATCCAGGTGTGGAGTCAAATGCAGCTGCTCATCCAAAAACATGCATGAATTCATACAATTGGGAATGTGCTGTCCTTCACCCAAACATGGGCTGAGTTACCTTTCAAAGACATTTTGTTGCAATTACAAGTTTAACCCAAATCTGAACTTGCAAAGAACCTGCAAAGCAAATGCCATGTTTTACATATGTCAAATAGTCTTCAGATTATATAAAAAGAATTCAAAGTATCCCAATTAAAGGGCCTGAGCAGAGTGTTCCCTCTAGTTTGTATCAACCTACCACTGTAGTAACTAGTGAGCAAAACAGGCCAAATGTCCATTTTCAGGCAGGGACAAACCAAAGTGATGGGCACAATTTTAACTCCAACTTCAACATTATTGTGGGAAATATTTCCCCCTCTTAGGCTGAGCTGAAGAAGCTTAAGCAGAAAGTTTTCCACAGGCTTCAGGAATAGCCCCTGTATAATGAGAGTATAGAAATTCAATTATTAATTATTCCTGGAAGAGAAGGAAAGTTGCCAAAGCCATTAACTTCCTACAGACAAAAGCAGCAGGGGTGGTGCTGTGAGTGCTTCCTGGCAAAGGGGCAGGAGTGAAACCCCAGCACAGACAGGTCAGGACACCAGGGGGGTCTCAGGGAGTGAAACTCAGTGCAAGAGAAGAACCAATTGATGAACCCGGGTGCTGGGTGCATCAAGAAACCACGGGACCCTCCGTGCTGCCAGAAGACATCAAAAGCACGGAAAGTAAATATAAACCCCATTTGCACCATCTTCTGTTCTTTTTACATGCTCCTGGTTGTTTCTTTTTCTTGGCTTTTTTTAACTTGGAGATCTCCAGGAGCCACACAACAGCATTATTTCCTTCAGCAGCGAAGCAGCTGACACCTGCACACAACGTGGTTTCAAGAGAGCTGCTGTCCCATAGTTGGAAATGGAGTAGCTTGGGATGTCAGGAGAAGGATCAAACACAACAGCAATTTATTGACATGAGCATCTTCTGCTTCCAAAGGACCTATTTGAAGGTGATGACAAATAATGTAACTCCCTTCCTACTCGAGTCTCAAGTGCTCATCATCCTGATTCCCGAGAGACGGAGCAGCCGGGGCCCTGCTGCATCTTCACAAGAGAAAGACACTGCAACAACAAGAGGGAAAAAAAGGCCCAAATCCAGAGTGGTGAGAACACAGAGAGAGGGAACTCCTCTTGTCCCATCTCCTTCAGATGACAGAAGTGAAATGCAGGTTTGAGAACTCCCAGTCACACCTCCTGCGTCTCCACGAAGGCGACACTCGACACCTCCCAGTGCGGGAGAGCAGCGGACACATCGCTCTTCACCCTCCACGTGCCTCCTGCAGCTGATCTGTGTGGACTCATTGTTGTGATCACATGCCATAGGGGACGTGTTATGATGAATAAATCGTATCGCCAGGACAATTTTTGTGGCATATAATGTGCCCAGACAGACATCAAAATCTCACCCCGTCGGTGCTCACACGAGAGGAATTCAGACACCGGTGCAGTTTCTGAAGGATTAAACACATTTTCAAAGGGTCTCACACAATAGTGCTTCTGGGAACCTGGTGATAGTCATCATTAAGAGGAGATTTAATTTAAAGATTGTGGAACGCTCACAGTTTCAAACAGGCAGAGATTATAAGTTGGAATTCAGCAGCTGGTTAAGTGCTGACAGAAAAATATCTGCTCTTCATCCATCTCCACCTCCAGTGTTCAGCACCGTCACAAACCTGGTGCCTCTGAACACAGACACGTCCACGGTGCCACAGGTACAATTCTCAGTCTCTGACTGAGTGCCCACATCTGCCTTTGAGAACAGCACCCAAACCTCCTCCAGGGCAGAGCCTGTGCAGCTGCTCGTGGACTCTACAGCCCCACTCTGCTCGTGGCACTACAGCCCCACCAGGAGTTCCTGCAGCCAGGGCTCTACAAACATGATCACAGCTACTCCTTGGTGCTCACTCCTGGTACAGGCACTGCACACACAGGAGGGGTAAAGTCTGAAGGCTTCTCCAAATAAGCTCTTTATGTGGAAGTAGCTGAGAACCAGAGCTTGAGGACAACTAACAATATGCCAGAGTAAATATTGTAATTTCAAGGAGCAGAGCAGGACAATGAGGCCTCTTTGCAACTAATCCCTGTATCGTCATGTGACAAAGAACTCCAGGATCCAACACCAGCCCTGCAGTGACAGAGCCCACCCGGCCCAGCCCCAGCCAGATCAACTCATTACACACAAAAGCCTTTATCTCAACACCATCAACCTGATCCCCTGGGATTTTCTGGAGAAAAGCAGATGAACCTTCAAGTTTCTGCTTGAGAACAGTGAGAACACTTGGGTGTGGAGGTGAGCTCTGACCCCTGCCCGGGCTCAGGAGCTCTGCTGCTGTCAGAGCTGAGGCCCGGAGCTGCACCTTGCTGCAGTGCAAAGCACCAATCAGATCCCAAAATAACGATGGCCATCAGTCATAATATCATCCCAGCAGTGGGACATTCTGACTCTCACACTGCCAATATCACTCACAGTTAATGCTTTTTCTGATGCCCAATTTCCTTCAGTTTGGAGAGGAGGGAAGGGAGGTGTCAGGGCTTGCCCTTTGGGACAATATCGAGCTCTAATGCAGCCTTTCAGCTCGACAGGGTAAGCTGGTCACCAAAACCAGATGTTTGTGCCCAAAATACACTGAGGGAAAGAAGAACAACATTTACAGACACATCAGACAACAGGGTCTGTGAGCAACTGTAAGGAACCATGGCACGAACAGAAAGGGGCATCAGGCACTTCCAGAAATCATCCTAAAGATCTTGGAGCAATGTAGTCAGATTCCAGCCTTCTGGGGAGACTCCAAATGCCAAATTTAAGAGCAGGGTGTTCCCAGTGGGAGCTGCACTGTTTGTGTGCTCGACACTCCCACTCCCCCCAGGAGCTGGAACCAAAAGCAGATGAGATGAAGGATGGGGAGTTACCATCAATTTTCAATCAAAGTAAAACAAATCCTCCTATGAACTGATTCCCTTTGATCAAAATTCAAGGCAATCATTTAACATAACACATTTCAAGTGCTGCCGTGAGGAATTCAAAGGAGAGGGAAGGAAAGGGCCGGGCAGGGCACCCGTCTGGCAGCACCACTGGCTGTGCCCTGGGTGTCACCGGAGGGACCTTCTGCCCAAAGCTTCTCCACACATTTCAGTCATAGAAACATGGAATCCTGGAATGGTTTGGGTTGGAAGAGACCTTAAAACCATCTCATTCCAACCCTCCTGTCATGGGCAGGGACACCTTCCACCAGCCCAGGTTGCTCCAAGCCCCGTCCAACCTGGCCTTGGACACTTCCAGGGATCCAGGGGCAGCCACAGCTTCTCTGGGCAACCTGTGCCAGGGCCTCACCACCCTCACAGCCAGGAAATTCCTCCTAAATTGTTGTGAAAGATTCTCCATCTAAAACAAACTAACAAAACACCCTCCAGCCACGCTGAACTCAAACAAAAGTACTTCTGGGTCCCATGGAAAACATTCCTTTTCCTGCTGGATGGACAGTCTGAAACAGGAAAAAATAAAAGAATGTAAGGTTTGACTCTTTCCATCTACTTCTCTTGTAGCCTCTATTTCTCTGTAAGGCTGATACTGCTGTTCCAGTTTCTCTACAACCTACAAAAAAGCAATTTATTTTCCCCTCCCTCCCCAGCCACGCCTCCTTCCTCCAGTTATTGCACTGCTGCCCACCCTGCAGCACGAGGAGGGGAAGGGACGAGTTACCTGTGCATTTCCTGTCCGTGTCTTCCTTCTTTGAGCCAGTGATGGTCAACTTGCAGTTGAAGTTCTCCTCCCAGTACTCTGCAAACCAGACGTTCCTCCTGTTGTTCTCCAGGGTGCGGGAGGTAAAATAGGCATCGAACCCTGGGGAAGGAGAGAGGGGAGAGCTCAGGTTTGGCTCGGGCTGCAGCCTGAAAAACAAACCCTCTGGCTGTATCTCGCTCAACACCCAGCACGTGCCACGTCTCTGTCCACGTGAGAGGGCCCTGGAGAGAAAGAAAATCCACTGAGCATGTTCTTATCAGCTGCATCTTGCAGGGAAGTTACTCTGTTTCTGACTGCCAGGTACAAAACTGGGTAAGATAAATGTGAAACAAGATTAATATAGATAAGAGTTATAAGGAAAAAAGCATGGAATAGATACACACCAATGAGGAAGGAAAATAAATCATATGGTGCAGCTGTGCCTCTCTATCGCGTCATCACAGGGGTCCTTTGGGGTTTGCAGTCAGAAATGGCTGTAAATGCATATTCCATTGAAAGAGGGAAGAAGTTCCTGCCACTGTAGTCAATGACTTCCCTCAGTGCCATAGGTGGGCAGAGTGACACAAGCTGGCACAGCACACGATGGAACTGAGCCGGAGGAAAACCATCTGGCATCAGTAAATGAGCACAGCACTCCTCCCCTGGGCATAAAAATAGACAGCACAAACCCAGATGTTTTAAAAGGGGAAAGGGGATCCAGAACGGGGTCAATCCATCTCCTCCTGCCAGCTTTGTGTGCCACTGACCCAACCATAACATGTATTTTCCTAATGCTGAGTCTGCTGTTCACCAATCACATCCCAACCTACCTCATCTCCCAAAATCAAACCGGGAAAATCAGTACCAGGGCCTTCCAGTAACAGGCTGAAAGCAAATTAACATTTTACCTGCAGCCTCCATAGTAAATGATACAGTTTATTAAATCAAAAGTAGGGCTCTTCCAACCCAAACCAGTCTGTCATTCCATGATCACCATTTCTTGGATAAAATATCCTAAGGAAAATATTCATGGTCAGATGGGTCAGAAGAACATTTGGAAAATCACCAGGTTTTAAGAGCATACAACCTAAACCTTTTTTTTTCCTGCAAACCTGTGTGTAATAGTTTTACTCATAATTAAACAAGCATTTCAAAGGGGATATTCAGTCATAAGATCTACAACATACAAATGGCTCAGAAAGAGAAAGAGGGAACCTTTCCCATGTGCCAAAGCCACTGACCTCTGGGAAAAGGGCTCTATAATTAATAAGGTAAAATCAATGAGTCTTGATAAAACTGTAATAAAATTCCATATGAATTACTCTAAGCCTTTACAGACTTAATAACAAATAACAATATTCCCATTGATTGCTTTAATGATCCCTCTGCATTCACAAGGAGGAATATGGATCCTACTACAGAGGGAACAGGTTTTACCATTATTTCCTATTGATCAGGACAAGGAGATGAGTGAGTGACAATGGGACAGTTCAGAGCTGGACAAATTTCTGTGAATTCCTCCCTGTGTGGGAATACTGTGCCCCCTCCACCCTGGCTGTGCTGCAGGTCCCAGCACTGCTGCTCCCACAGAGCCAAGGTCCTGGGGAAGAACTCCAAAGGCATCCCCTTGGTGAACTGCCCTCCTTCCCAACATCTTAGGGCCAAGAATCCCAGACTGGTTTGGGTTGGGAGGGACCTTAAAGCCCATCCAGTGCCACCCCCTGCCATGGGCAGGGTCACCTTCCACCAGCCCAGGTTGCTCCAAGCCCCGTCCAACCTGGCCTTGGACACTCCCAGGGATGGGGCAGCCACAGCCCTGAAACCCCTCCCCAGGCAGGACTATTCCTACACCTCCCACAGTCCTGCAAACACCAGTGGTCCCGTCTGTGCCCGTGGGTTTGAGGCAGAGGAACACCTCAAATGCATCTCTAATTTTAGATATCTTTTGGAAAGAACATGATTCATAAACACTCAGGTTGCAACACAGGCAAACGTTCTCTGCAGCAACAACTGACTTAAGCCTGTTCTTAATCTTAATCTTTCTGAACTGAAGACATTAAGACAACTTACACACAGAGTGCTAAATATCAGAGTTCTGGGTTCAGAGTCTCACAGGGAATTAGATGACCCAGCCAAAAAACCTGGATGCTTTAATGCAAAAGTAGGAATAATCTCTTCTTACCCCTGTACACGGCCAAGTATTTCACTGGTGTGACAAGATTTACTGATTCCCCAATGTTCTCCATATTTCATACTTTAGCAAATTACTTTTTCAGCAAATACATCTAAGAGATATAGATAGTTCTTTTATGAGATTTTCCAAATTAAAATGAATCTCTTATTACTTCAAATCACCATGATTTGATTAAATCATTATTTTTACACATAGAGAGATGATACTGCCTAATGGGTTCATTTATCTCCCACCACAGGATAAATATGTACATGAGCTCCATAGTGATGAAAGAGACTGAAAGGAAAAAAAAAGGAGGAGCATGGAGGGGGGAGAAGGGGAAAGGGCCCCGATCCCAAGCCCTGGGGAGGGGCTGGGGAAGTCCAGGCAAGGGACAAGTGCTCTTGGTTGGTTTCCCACTATCTCAGGGGGTGCCATCCCCTTTGGTCAGGACAGGAGGGATCAGCAGTGCTTAAGGGATTGAAAACAGAAATTCCTGGGGGGAGATGGGAATGCCTCACCCCCAGCTGGCTGGAGTCAGGTCAGATTTGGTGACCTTGGACTTCAAGGGCTCAGAGGTTACTTAACAAGGAAAATCATTAAGCTTAATTAAATCACAAAATGACTGACCTGCTGCATTTCTCACGTGCCTCAAGTGTTTTCATTCTCAGCCCAGGTGAGAGCAAATACAACATATTGACCCAACTTCACATGAGCAGGGATTTGATCAGTTTATGATATTTTTATTCTTCTATTTGTCCAAGGATGTCCACACTAAAAACTGCCAGTTATACCAATTTTAGTTATCCAGATAGCAAACCATCCCTTCCTGCAATTATTGATACCAAATGAGTTGACAGCAGCTCCTCAAACACTTTTCCAATTTTCCCAGCATTTAACCCAAAACAGTTTCATTTACTGGCATTAAATCTGAGATAAAAGCATTATGTTTGAATGGTAGGATCAATTTTAAGACAGCAAGTCTGTTTGCAGATTATATGGTGTTGCCCAAGCCACACACTACAGGGTGTTATGGAGCCATTAAGACAATACACAGATATTTTCTTGACCTTCTTACTCAGCAAAAAAACCATTATACAAATGATTTTATTAACTCCCATCGTGCCATAAAAGTGCTTTGCAGTTGTTTTCTTTTCTTAACAATTGCTGGTTATAACTGTGAAAAAGGGTATTTGAGTTGCTGTCACATTTGACTTTTTATATCCATGACATAAATCATATACAGAGGAAATTCCACTTGCCACACTTTGGACAAATCTGAGATTTGAAGCTCTAAAGCTTCTATTAGGGAAGTGGATATATATTGGCTAAGTATCATCGTTATCACTTTTATAAAATTATACAGCTGCCACAGCAATGGGATCATGACCCAGGTGGTGTCTGAGGCAGTGCTCTCATAGAAAGGTTAATATACAACTATATTATTATTCATTATGCTACATTTTATAGCCCTCAGGCACTTCTTGCTCTCGGAGACCTCCCATGTACATCAATATAAACAGCAGAAAGCCCTGAACTGAAAATGAAACCCCTCCTATTTGCTATTTTCATTGCCACCATCCTCAGCTGAGGGTGGGATTCACCTGGACACACACGAGGAGCTCATCCCCATCCCTGAATTCTCACGTGGCCTTCTGGAGGCACCAGGAGCATCCTCCCACCCGAGCAGAGCCTGGTGCTCCAGCCAGGGCAACCCCCCATCTGCTGTGGGAACACCAGGAATGCCAAATCCATGCCAAGAGCATCCAGAGCTTCTTCCCCTGGAGGAGCTGCAGCTCCACAAAGCACTGAGAGTTTTGCCTTTCCAGGCTGACAGGGGGATAATCACCTGGGCTGCTCAGTGCAGACAATGCTCTGTGCTCCCTGAACACTCCACTCGTTCACATGGCTCCTGCTGCAGGAATAATTCCTTAGGAATTGCAGTCTGCAGAGTGCCAGCCAAGGGAGCAACACTGCTCACCAACCCACTGCTGAGAGGGTGAGCTGTGGCTGCTGTGCCCACCACACCAGAGCCAGGCCAAAGAGGAGATTCCAAAATAGACCTGGAGCAGGATGTCTTCACACTCATCCTTTCCTGCTGCCCAGTTACTGGAAATCCGTCTTGTCAGGACCTTATCCATGAAATACTCCTTTTCCTCACACCTGAAGATGAGGGAAAAGCTTTTTATAAAAGCTGCTTATAAAATAACAGAATTTGTGGCTTCCCCACCCCTGGAAGTGCCCAAGGCCAGGGTGGAGGGAGTTTGGAGCAATGTGGGATAGAAGAAAGTGTCCCTGCCCATGGCAGGTGGTTTTTCCAATCCAAGACACACGGTTTCGGTTGGAAGGGACCTCAAAGCCCATCCAGTGCCACCCCCTGCCATGGGCAGGGACACCTTCCACCAGCCCAGGTTGCTCCAAGCCCCGTCCAACCTGGCCTTGGACACTTCCAGGGATGGGGCAGCCACAGCTTCTCTGGGCAACCTGTGCCAGGGCCTCCCCACCCTCCTAGGGAAGGATTTCTTCCTAGTATCCCATCCAAGCCTGCTCTCTGGAAGCCTGAAGCCATTCCCCCTTTCCTGTCTGAGCTGTTATTTCAGTTTTCAGTTGCAATTGGCTGTTTAACCAGATCCCTCTGCCCACATTGATGGCTTCTTCCCATTAGGTTTTTAAGTTCCTACTTCCCACTCTTTTTACCAGAAGCTGCTCCACAGATGGCCTGTTCCATTTTAATAATGCAGAGCAGTAAAATCTGAGGTACAGAAGGTCTAAATGCAGAACATGAGAGTGGTTTTCCTGCCTTCGGCAGCCGACAAAACGCCCGGTGCGTGTCCTGAGAGGCACTTAAACTGCAGGCAGCAACCTGCATAATTCAAACTGAGGGGAAAAATGCAGAGAGCCCTCTATGCTGTAATGCAGCAACTGGAGTCACTCCTGGAGATGCTCA